TACATATCTGACAAAGATCTAATATTCAATATGAGGAACTTAAATTTACAAGAGAAAAACAAACAGTCCTATCAAAAAGTGGCTAAAGAATTGTCTATTCATGTCCTTAGTCTACTTTTTGATAGGATTGTTTTTGTCTTGCTAATTTGTTTGAGCTCATTGTATATTCTGAATATTAGGTCTTTGTGAGATATACAGATTGTGAAGATTTTCTCCCATTCTGTGGATTGTCTGTTTACTCTGTTGACTGTTCCTTTTGCTGTGAAAAAGCTCTTTAGTTTAATTAAATCCCACCTATTTATCTTTGTTTTTCTTGCTGTTGGGTTCTTGATCATGAAATCCTTGCCTAAGCCAATGTCTAGAAGGGTTTCTTTGATGTCGTCATCTAGAATTTTTATAGTTTCAGGTCTTAGATTTAAGTCTTTGATCCATCTTGAGTTGATTTTTGTATAAGGTGAGAGATGAAGATCCAGTTTCATTCTCCTACATGTGACTTGCCAATTAATCCCAGCACCATTTGTTGGGTAGGGTGTTCTTTCCCCACTTCGTTTTTGTTTTCTTTGTCAAAGATGAGTTGGCTGTAAATATTTGGGTTAATTTCTGGGTTCTCCATTATGTTCCATTTGGCTGTGTGCCTGTTTTTATACCAGAACCATGCTGTTTTGGTGACTATGGTCTTATGATATAGTTTGAAATCAGGTAATGTGATGCCTTCTGATTTGTTCTTTTTGTTTAGTGTTGCTTTGGCTATGCGGGCTCTTTTTTGGTTCCATATGAAGTTTAGTATTGTTTTTTTTTTTGTTCTATGAAGAATGATGATGGTATTTTGATGGCAATTGCATTGAATTTGTAGATTGCTTTTGGTAGTATGGTCATAGACAATTCTCAGAAGATACACAAATGGCCAACAAACATATGAAAAAATGCTCAACATCACTAATGATCAGGGGAATGCAAATTACAACCACAATGCAATACCACCTTACTCCTGCAAGAATGGTCATAAAAAAGAATAATAATAGATGTTGGTGTGAATGTGGTGAAAAGGGAGCATTTCTCCAGTGCTGGTGGGAATGTAAACTAGTACAATCACTGTAGACAACAGTGTGGAGATTCCTTAAAGAACTAAAAGTAGAAGTACCATTTGATCCACCAATCCCACTACTGGCTATGTACCCAGAGGAAAAAAAAAAAAGTCATTATACAAAAAACATACTTGCACACACATATTTATAGCAGCACAATTTGCAATTGCAAAAATGTAGAACCAATCCAAATGCCCATCAATCAACGAGTGGATGAAGAAACTGTGGTATATATGTACGATGGAATACTACTCAGCCATAAAAAGGAATGAATTAGTGGCAGTTGCAGCAACCTGGATGGGACTGAAGACTATTATTCTAAGTGAAGTAACTCAGAATGGAAAACCAAAGATCATATATTCTTACTTACAATTTGGAGCTAAGCTATAAGGATGCAAAAGCATAATAAGGACACAATGGACTTTGAGGACTCAGGGAGAAAGGGGAGAAGGTGGTGAGGGATAAAAGGCTATAAATTGGGTTCGGTGTATACTGATGAGGTGATGGATGCACCAAAATCTTACAAATCACTAATAAAGAACTTACTAATGTAACCAAATACCACCTGTTGCCCCAAAACCTATGGAAATAAACAAAAAAATTTTAAGTGGGCAAAGGACAGGAATGCTTTTCAAAAGAATACATATGTGTGACCAACAACCATAGAATACAAAGCTCAGTATCACTGACCATTAGAGAAATGCAAATCCAAGGCACAGTGAGACACCATCTCACACCAGTCAGAATGGCTACTATTCAAAAGTCAAAACACAACAGATGCTGGCAAGGTTGTGGAGAAACAGAACATACACTGTTGGTGGGAATGTACATTGGTCCCACTGCTGTGGAAAGCACAACAGTGCTTTCCTCGAAAGAGCTAAAAGCAGAACTATCACTGAACCCAGCAATCTCATTACTGGGTATACACCCAGAGGTATATAAATTGTTCTATTGTAAAGACACAAGCACGTAAGTGTTTATTGCAACACTATTCTCAATAGTAAAGGCATGGAATCAACCTAAATGCCCAGTGATGACAGATTGGATACAGATAATATGGCACATTGTGGAGGAAAAGTTAAATATTAAATTTGACCTCAACTGAACAGGGACACAAACAATGGTCACTAAGTCCTGGAACGAGTTGTGTGAGCCCCTTGAGGCATCCATCCAGTGCTGTTTCGGAGAAATAGTTATTGAAAAACAACAGACAATTGCAAAAACTAGTTGACCTTTTTGTGTTCCTTGAGCCCAGATGCAAAGGGCCCTCATGACTGGGTCTCATGACAAACAATTTGTTACAAAAAGAGCTAGTTTCCCAGACCACACCAAAGCTTCATGGGACCTCTCCTCATCTATGCACGGACTAATGGCCAACTCTGGAGCCCAGGCTCTTGCTTCCCAGCCTGGTGATGAATCCTCCATAGTCTGGTGAGTGTAAATTTATATATATATATATATATACACACACACACACACACACACACACACACCTTTTCCCTTCTCCCCTTCCCATTACAATTTATTATTTATATCATTGGTTTATTAGGTGATTTGCTTATTATATCTATATTGTCATATACTTGGGATAAAGTCTGTTTACCCTTAAAAGTATTGTGTGTTTCTTTTCTTCTTTCCTCACACATTTCCCATACAGAACACACATATGCACCATGGAATACTACACAGCTACATGTTCTCACTTATAAGTGGGAGCTAAATAACGAGAACTTATGAACACAAAGAAGGAAACAACAGACAGCAGACACTGGGGTCTACCTGAGGGGAAGGTGGGAGGCGGGAGAGGAAGAGAAAAGATAACTATGGGGTACTGGGCTTAATACCTGGGTTATGAAATAATCTGTATAATAAGCCCCTGTGATATGAGTTTATGTAACAAACCTTCACATGTACCCCCGAGCCTAAAATAAAAAAATTAAATCCTTTATGAAAGCTATAAGATCTGCTCCTATGTGTTTGTATGTCTATATGTGTTACATGTATGTGATAATATTTTGTAAATAAAGCTCGTTCTTAAGTCAGTAAAATAGAAATGGCTTTACAATTATCATATATAATTAGATACTTGCTTGATTTAACTATGATCTTATGTCTTTTGTTGAGAATTTCTGGATTCAGGGGGTCTTGAAATGTGACCATGATGAAGTATGGAGACATGTTCTCAGTGCCTAGACCAGCAGCTACAAGCTAGAATCAAGGCCAGTCGGCCCCTTCTTTCTGTGCTTTTCCTGTTCTGCCTTCTGGCTATTTTAGGAGGGGTTGGATCCTCCAGTTACAGCCTTCACAGCTCTGTCTTTAGTCCTGATGGACTCAGGCAGGCCCTGATCTTCATAGTTTTCCGGGGTGCCATGTGGCTACTTGGGACCTAGAATTACTGAGGGAAGGCATTAGGGATGCTGCCTGTGTCACATTTCCAAAATTCAGTTCAGTAATTTAAACTCTTACAGTCATGTTAAATTAAGTAATAAATAACCATAAAATATCTGGAGTCAGTTGTAAGCTAAAATAGTGAAATATTAACCTTTAAAAATGAGTTTAGGTCTAGCTACCATGACATGTTACTTGTATATGCCATAGAAAACCTAAATATCTTTAGTTCTGTTAATAAACAGCAATTTGAAGAACTATATTTCTTAAAAGCGATAAAAAGGTTTTTATCTAAAAATACTGATGTTTAAGATAGTTAAAAATCACTTTTTAGGGTTTTCACTGAGAATTGGGGCTCCTAAGACTTGATTACTAGATATGAGAGAAACAATTCTGCATACACAGTATATAAAAAGCAAGATATGCTTTTTTTTTTTTTTTTCTTTTTTGAGAACGAGTCTTGTTCTGTTGCCCAGGCTGGCATGCAGTGGCATGATCTCAGCTCAGTGCAACCTCTGCCTCCCCAGTTCAAGCGATTCACCTGCCTCAGCCTCCCAAGTAGCTGGGATTACAGGTGCTCACCACCACACCCGGCTAATTTTTGTATTTTTAGTAAAGACGGAGTTTCACCATGTTGGCCAGGATGGTCTTGAACCTCTGACCTCAAATGATGCACCCGCCTTGGCCTCCCAAAATGCTGGGATTACAGGCTTGTGAACATATGCTTTTGATGATAAAACTTATAAAGACATAAAAGTGTGTTTTAATTTTTTTTTTTGGTTTGAAGTTACTTAAAGGTTTCAAATTGAAGAAGTGAAAAAAAAAAAAACTAGATAAAACCAGATAAATATGGAAAGTTGGGGGAAAATGCAAAGCATAGGTTCACAAAAATCTGGGATTAAAAGATGACAACATTTGATAAATTTATTTTATTTTTTAAATATCTTTTTTTTTTTTTTTTTTGAGACAGAGTCTAGCTCTGTCGCCCAGGCTGGAGTGCAGTGACCGGATCTCAGCTCACTGCAAGCTCCGCCTCCCAGGTTCACGCCATTCTCCTGCCTCAGCCTCCTGAGTAGCTGGGACTACAGGCGCCCATCTCGCCCAGCTAGTTTTTTTGTATTTTTTTAGTAGAGACGGGGTTTCACAGTGGTAGCCAGGATGGTCTCGATCTCCTGACCTCGTGATCCACCCGTCTCGGCCTCCCAAAGTGCTGGGATTACAGGCTTGAGCCACAGCGCCCGGCCTTTTAAAATATCTTAAAATATCTTTTAAATATCTTAAATATCTTTTAAATCTATTTTATTTTAACTTTAGAGGCTGGGCACTATGGCTCATGCCTGAAAATAATCAAATGTTCTTGTCAATTGTGTCTAACTAGAACAACTTAAAGTCATTTCCACTGTAAATTGCTTAATTCTGAGGCAGTTTCTGAAAACTTCACAAGCTTGCAAAATCCTAGAGTATTGTGTCTTTAATGAGGTTCATGAAAGTATGGAGAAGGCCCTGAGAAGCACTCTTGAATACAAGTTTTTGAGAACTTTAGAATTATTTTATTTGAACTGGGTAAGAATTCCCAGAACTTTAATGAAGAGACTGACTGGTTTACAAAACTGTTAACCCAAGCAGAATAAAAATCAATTGAATACCAAGAAAATACTTTGCCAGATTTTCATGCCAAATCAGCCAGTATTCAAATTGTCTGGATAAAGAATTTGAATGAGCTGCAGAGTCCAGGTCAAATGATCTATGATAATCCCTGGTTAGTCCGTGCCATGCACCGAAGTTGAAGAAACAGTCCAATGTTAAGCATGGAGAACCAGGATGTCTTCCTTGTCCTTCCCGAGTTCTGAAAGCTTTTCTTATTAAAAGTTCTGCATTCTGCTTCCTGGGTGTGAGGGGAAAGCAAGCCGGCAGAAAGAAGGCTCCACTGCTCGTCCCTCCTGCAAGGACACCAGATGAACAACTATTAATATCCACATAGAAAAGACATTTATAAGAACCAAAAATCAGGTGAGTACTCAAAGTACCTGGTTTTAACCTCATATCACTGAAAGAGACACTGAAGAGAGAGAAAAAACAGTCCTGAATCACGGGTGCCACCATTTCCTCACCCCCAGCAATGATGGCGTGGTGCAGAGATCACTCTGGGTTCTGCCGGAGGGAGACCACAGCAACTGTGAGGCACTGAACTCTGTGCTGTCCTATTAGAGCAGAAAGGAAAACCAGACCAAATGCAGTTAATGTCCATCCACAGAGGGATCATTTAAACCAGTCCTAGCCAGAGGGGAATCAGATTCCAGTGGTTGGAACTTGAGTGTTTGGAAACCTGGCAACTGAGGGCTCCAGGACTCTGTGTATCTAACAAAACTTGAAAGGCAGCCCAGGCCATCAGGACTGCAACTCTTAGGTGAGGCCTAGGGCTGAACTGGGCCCAGGGACAGTGGACTTGGGGTGGGGGGGAGGGCATGCAACATACTGAGACACCAGCTGGGGCAGCCAAAGGAGTTCTGGCATTATTACTCCCCTAACACTAGGCTGCACAGCTCCTGGCTCCAACAGGGACCCCATCCTTCTGCTTGAGAAGAGGAGGCAAAAGAGTAGAGAGGAATTTTTCTTTCATCCTGGAGACCAGTTCAGCCACAGCAAGATAGTGCACTGGTCAGAATCCTGGCTCTGGCTCTGGCTCCTAGACATTCCTAGACACACCCTGGGCCAGAAGGAAACCTGCTGCCTTGAAGAAAGAAACAAGTGCTGGCAGCATTTATCACCTGCAAACTTGAAAACCTTTGGGCTCTGAATAACCAGCAGCCATACCCAGGTACTATGTCAAGGGCCTTGGATGACCCTCATCGACTTGCTAGATTTAGGGGACACTCAGCACATTACCAGCTGTGGTCACTAAAAGGCAAAATTCCTTCTTAGGAAAAGTAGAGGGAAAATTAAAGGGGACTTTGTCTTCTCCCTTAGGTACCAGCAAGGCCAGAGGTGGGTAGAGCACCAAGCGAGCTTTCGGAACCCCTGATTCTAGGACTTGATTCTTGGTTGACATGTATGAAGCTGCCCAGGGCCAGTAGGGAGCCCACTGCCCTGAAAACGGCAAGTCCCAAGCCAGGCAGCATTCATTACAAGCTGACAAGAGGCTTTGGGCCTTAACGGAACATTGGTGGTAGCCTGGCAGTACTCACTGTGGCCTGGGGTGGTGGTGGCTACCTGCCACCTAAAGGTGGTGGCTACTCTGCCTTTAGAAAAGGAAGGGAGGAATAGGAAGGACTATGTCTTGTGGTTTGAGTGCCAGATCAGTTGCAATGCAATAGAATGTCAAGTGGACTTCTAACATTTTTTACTCTATTCCGTGACCTGAATGGCACTTCTGGACCCAGCCAAGGACTGAGGAACCTCACTGCCCTAAAGGAAAGGACACAGGCCTGGCTGGCTTTGCCATCTGCTAATCGTAGAGACCAAAGGTCTTGAGTGAACATAGGCAGTCTTCAGAAAGTGCATGCAGCAGGACTTAAGCAAGACCCAGTGCTGTGCTAGCTTCAGGTCTGATCCAGGGCAGTCATAGTGGTGGTGGCCAGGGGTGCTTGTGTCTTTCTTCTCCCAGCTTTAGGTGGCTTAGAACAGAAAGAAAGACTCTGTATCTTTGAGAGAAAATAAAGGTAGGGAACAAGAGCCTTTAACTAGTAATCCAGAAAATTCTCCTGGATCTTGTTGAAGGCTGTCAAGGTGGTACTTCTATGAGTCTGGAAGAATTACAGCATTATTGGGTATAAGGTGCCCCATAAAGCAGATATGGCTTAGATCACAACACCCAAGTCTTTTCAAATATGTGAAAAGCCTTCCCAAGAAAGACAGTTACAAATAAGCCCAGACAGTGAAGACTACAGTAAATACTCACCTTTTCTCTTTTTTAATTTTATTTTTTAAACCTCTCATATAGTGCTGCATGCCTAAGATTTTAATGTCCAGACAATGAGGAACATTTACTAGCATCAACACCATCCAGGAAAACATGACTTCATCAAGTGAACTAAATAAGGCACCGGGGACAAATCCTGGAGAAAAAGAAATATGTGACCTTTCAGACAGAGAATTCAAAACATCTGTATTAAAAAAAAAAAAAAACTGAGAGAAATTTAAGATAACAGAGTAAAGAAATTCCTAATTTTAACAGCTAAACTCAACAAAGAGATTAAAATACTTACAATAAATTAAGCAGAAATTCTGGAGCTGAAAAATGCAATTGGCATGCTGAAGAATGCAGTACAGCCATTTAATAGCAGAATGGATCAAGCAGAAGAAATAGTGAGCTTGAAGACAGGCTATTCGAAAATACGTAGAAGAAACAAACAAACAAAAAGAATAAAAACAACGCATCATGCCTACAGGATCTAGAAAATAGCCTGACAAAGACAGATCTAAGAGTTACTGGTTTTAAAGAAGTTGTAGAGAAAGAGGGAGGGGTAGAAAAATTTATTCAAAGGGATGATAACAGCGAACTTTCCAAACCTAGAGAAAGATATCCATATCTAACTACAAAAATGTTATAGAACATGAAGCAGATTTAACCCAAAAAAGACTACTTCAAAGCATTCAATAATCGATCTTCCAAAAGTCAAAGATAGAAAAGTTCTAAAGGAAGAAAGAGAAAAGAAACAAAAAACATACAGGGGAGCTCCAACACGTCTGGCAGCAGACTTTGCAGTGGAAACCCCACTGGCCAGGGGAGAGAAGCAATAAATATTTAAAGTACTAAAGGAAACAAACTTTTACCTTAGAATAGCACATACAGCGAAAATGTTCTTCAAATACAAAGAAATACTGACTTTTCCAGACAAACAAAAGCTGAAGTATTTCATGAATACCACACCTGTCCTACAAGGAACGCTAAAGGGAGTACTTCAATCAGGAAGAAAAGGACATTAACGAGCAATCAATGATCATCCAAAGGTAAAAAAAAATCCTCACTGCTAATAGTATACAAAACAAAGCAGAATATTATAACACTATAGCTGTGTGGGGTGCACTCTTATTCAAAGTAGGAATGCTAAATAATATCCAACCAAAAGGAATAACTACAACATTTCAAGACATAGCACAATAAATATAAATAGAAACAACAAAAAGTTAAAAAGGGAAGGGATGAGCCCACCCGTCCTGAGCCGGCCGGATGTGGTGGAAGCTCCGGAGCTCGGGAGCCAGGGGAAGGCCTGGAGCGTGGGCGGAAGGGAGGCCGCCCCGAGAGCCGAGAGCCGGAAGCCGGAGCGGGGGACTGAGGCCGCAGGCGCCCCCCAGCAACAGCAGGGCGGCGCCACATTGGTCCTGCCCTTGGCCTGGGCGCCTGCGACGGCGGGACGCTCCGGGAGGCCGGCGGAAGACGCAGCGCGGCTGCGGGGCGTGGAGAGAGACAGCTGCCCGGGGCACGGGCGAGCGGCTCGGGCGTCCCGGATCCGAGCCCTGCGGCCCCAGGGTGGCGGTGACGCCTGGAGTCGTGCGGGCGTGGCTGGGCCGGGCGCTTGGGGCAGCCAGGCGCCGCTGCTGGCGTCTATGCCGCACCACCCTGCAGGCGCCGGGTCTCCTCTGATCTCGTGAAGCTCAGCAGGGTCGGGCCTGGTTAGTACTTGGATGGGATTCCGCCTGGGAATAGCGGGTACCCTAGGCTTTTGGCTTTCGGCTCCCTCCCTCTTTCCCCCTTTTGTCTCCGTGCTTCCAAACCACCCCCTGACTCTGCTCCCCCTTGTCCGCCCCTGCGCCCCAGCCGCAGCCCAGGACCTCCTCCTGAAGGTCGCCACTGCAGCACCGCCAGGCAGCAGCATCCCACCTCTTCCACCCGGCTGCAGCCCCACCAGGAGCCCAGCTCCAACCCGGGCGGGAGGGGACCGACCCTGAAGGGCGCAGGCGTGGGTTCCCTGAGGTCCCGGGTGTCCTCCCGCTCCCCGGACGCCCGGGCAATTCAAACATTCATCCAGCGCCGCCGCCACTGTCCAAGCCGGGGGAAGGGGCAGCGGGTCCCACAGACGCCAGCCAAGACCTGCGCTCCAGAACCCGCGGGCTGCTTTCCAGGGGGAAGAACATTGTCTTCGCCCGCCACGAGGAAATCCGTCCCTGTGCACCTGGTTTCCCATTGCCACCGACTTCGTGTGAACTGCAGTCCCGAGAGACCCAGGCCTCCGGCCATGGACACGCTCGGCGCAACGTTTCCCGCCAGACGGACGGGCGCACTCTACAAATTTCGGGGTCCACCGCAGCAAGAGGACAGGGAGAAGCAAAGGAAGGACCCTGTGACACGCACCCCCAAGGCAACCAATGAATCCAAGAAAAAACACGTCTCAGGGCTCCGTTGATTTTCCCGCATGGGGGGCCCTGCCCCCCTGTTCTAGCCCGGCCCAAGCACCCTCCACCCTACCCTGGCCGGTTCAAAGGGACGGTGTCTACCCGAGCAGAGCCTCCCTCTCCAAGGCTCTGTCGCTCTCGCTCTCCAGCTCCCTCACCCTCTCCCTTTCTCTCCTTCCCTCTCCCCCTTTCTCTCTCTCTCTCCCCCCATCCCTCTCTCTGTCTCTCTATCGCTGTTTCTCTCTCTCCTTCCACTTATATCTCTACATCCCTCTGTCCCTTGCTGTCCTTCAAGCTGTCTGTATCTGTGTGTCTGTGTGTGTACTTGTGTTACCGCGCTTGCGCCCCTGTGTGTGTGTGTGTGTGTGTTTGGGATTGTGGTGGGGTGTGTCTGGATGTCCGTCAGTACCTTTGTCCCGGGTTCAGGCTGCCGACTCTACTGCCAGCTCGTGGGTGTCACATTTGCCCTGATAGTCTCACACTCGCAGGTGTGTGGATCTCGTTCATTTTCATGTAGAAAACCAGAGCGAAACCACAGAGAAAAGAAACGTCCCGTGCATCACGGCCTGACGAGGGATTCCTGTTTCCTGCAACGTGGGGAGTCTACACTGTGGCCGGTTTGAAAACTGGAAAGGAGAGCACCGACACGGTGCTGCTTTTCCACGCTTCCCTGGAGGTTTCTGTGTCCCCACAGAGCTCGGAAAACAGTCAACACGATCTCGCTTTTGGGGACCCGGAGACACGTGAGCAACAGGCCCCCTTGCGGAGGGCAAAGGAACGTGGAACCCGAAACCACACTTCAGTCGGCCTGAGTGCGTCTCCTGTGTGGATAGGACTGTCCGCCTCGCGCTCTGTTGCAAGCTCAACGTGGGGCTCTGTCATCTGTGAACCATGTGGATGAAAAACGGGCAACCACCAGAGCCTCATTGCCCTCTGGGAAGTTCGCTTATTCCTTCGGAAACGGAATTCGTCTGAATTGCTCCAGCATGAAATAACCCAGGCTGGCGATTCGGTGAGCGCCCCGCCGGTCAATGGGGCTGTGGGCCGAGCACTTAGCCCGCACTGCGCACCCAACATTTTCCCGGAGTGCTGGGTCCTGTTGGTCCTGGAGGCAGAAGACCGTTTTTCTCTCTACCTTCCTTTCTCTGTTTCTTGCTCCTTTTGTCCCTCGGTCCATCCTTCCCTCTGTTCTTCCCTCCCTCCCTTGGTTTTTTCCTCCCTCCCTCCCTCCTTCCCTGTTTCTCTCCCGTCCAGGGTCCCTCCGTCCATCCATCCTTTCCTAGCTCCATCCTTCCGTCCCACTCTGTCTTCGTTCCTGTCCTTATCTCTGCCTGCCTTCCCTCTTGCCTGGAAAGGGCAGCAGGCCGGTTTGCGCCGGATCTCGGATCTACATTTAGTTGCAAGGAGCTCCGTGGTGATGGTGAAGAGGCTGGCAGGAGGAGGGTTGGCAAAGTGATGGTGGAGCTAAGAGGCACAGGAGTCAAGCCTCGAAAAGGAGAACTGGCCTGGCTTCTGCCCGGGCCCAGTGTTTCGCGGACTGAGATCTCCGCCAACTCCACTGAAGAACGCGGGGGAAAAAGGGATGAGAACTCCGCCTGGGCTGATTGGAAAACCTAGGCGGCTATGGACCCGCGCATGCACAGTAGACAGTCCTCCTCCCGGTACCTGGCGGGCTCTGGGATCCCCGGGATGCTCAGGGAAGAATGACAGCCCTCCACTGTGTGGAGTCTCTCACCGGACCTGGAACTCAAGGATCCTAGACAGGTCAGCTGGAAGGAAAGAGACGCCTCTCCATACCCAGCCAGAGGTTCACCACGAAGGAGAGGCCGCCGCCCTGCCCCCACCCCCCGCCCCAACCCCGCGTCCTAAAGCTCCTCCAGCAGAGCCCGGTGTGCCTCCTGGTTGAGGAGTGATTCCAGCGGAGCGGGCTCTTCCACGTCCTTCAGCTCCCCCAGTGGCGCCGGATCTAGGAAAGGTTGTGCATTTTGCTGAAACTCTGCGACAGGAGCTCATCTAACAGGCTGGAGGGGAGTGCAGACTAGCGCTGAAGCTTTTGGAGCGGTTGGGAGGGCGCCTGGATGGCTTGCATCTGTGCCTGACACGCGGAGGCGTCCGGGGTCTGGGGCTCAGGAGGTGGAGCTGCCCTGCAGCGACCTGGGGCTCCAGCCCCACCAGCGACTCCCCTGGGACGTGGGTGGCTCAAGCACACCTTGGTCCTGTGACTCAGCTCGAGCGGGCCCAGGCTGTCCCACCGAGCACGCACCCAGCAGGCCACCGCGCTGCGGGTCCTGGTCTTTCTGGCATTTGTTGCGGTGCAGAGGCCACCGAGGAGCCGGAGGGTGGGACAGTCCCACTTCCAGAGGAGCCAGGGCACCCAACACAAAGCCCCGAGTGCAGGGGCAGGTGCAGAGATTCCTGCTGCCTGCGCAGCCTGGCTGGGCTGGAGCAGGGGCCCCTGTCCCCTGAGCCCCAGGCGCGCAGGGCATGTGGAGTGCGGGAAGCCCCGTTCCCCACGCCCCGAGGTGGGTGAAGGCTACTGACGAGGGAACGGGGGGGACACCCCCCGGGGGCCGCCTTGCACAGGCCGCCTGCGTGCGCCGGTGCCCTGCTACCCTGGCCCAGATGCCTGGCCCTCCGGTTCTGAAACCAAATCTGAATGCGGGACTCCGGGAGGCCCGTCTCTCTGGCCAGTTCTTCCCTGGTGGCGATGCCTGGAAAGCGACGCTGCCGGAAGGCTCTGAGGAGCAGGGTAGTCTGGGACCGGGTGACGGCGGTCCGCTTTCGCCTGCCTTCTTGCTGGCCTCGTTTCCCGGGCCAGGGCCGAGATTCCCGCAGGTGCTGCCTCAGCTGGCGTGATCTCTCATTCTGAAACCAGATCTGGACCCTGGGCTCTGGAATGCCGATGGCCTGGGCCAGCTGTTCTCTGGTGGCGATGCCCGGGTACTGGTTCCGCTCAAAGCAGGCTCGCAGGGCCTCCCTTTGGCTCGGGGTCCAAACGAGTCTCCTTCGCCGTCCTCGTCCTCGGGCTTCCGCGGGAAGGGTGCTGTCGGAAGGTGTCGGGAGAGCCATGGAGGGGAGACCTGGCCGGAATTTCGCGGACAGTTGTCAGTGCTGGTCATGTGGAAGAATCTGAGAAGTAGCAGATCCTTGTTGTCATTCCCAGAGCTGCATCCTCTGCTGAACAGGATCAGGGTATTCAGCTCAGCCTCATCTGATCCACTGAGAGGCTCAGTTATCTCCTGCCCAGGGAAGGGATGGGCTTCTCTGTCCAGGGCTGAATCCCCAGGACCAGGCAATGTGGCTGGGACAAGCCAGCCCTCAGCAGGGAAGACATAAGCTGCCTGGGTGGCCGTGGAATACAAGGTCTGCACCTGGGCACACAGAGGCCCCGGATGAGCAGTGTCAGCTGCTCCCAGGTTAGTGGAGAACTGATCTTCTGGGCCTGCACCTGGGCTAGGTCTTGATAAATAGCCTCAGACATAGCTGGCACAGAGGTCATCAAGCTTTTTCGATGTGATGGTGTTTGGACTCCTAGGGCCCGAGACCTGTGCCGCTTGCTGTGCAAGCCCTGGAATGTCCCCTATGGTGGGCATCACGGGTCTCCTGGATTTCACTGTTGTGCACAGCAGTGGGAGGATCTTGATTTTTTTTTTTTTTTTCCAACATCAAGCTGCACTCCTCTTCTGGACAGTTCCCTACAGAGAAAGCTTGTGAGAGGCTCGCCAGAGCAGTCCCCACAGACCCTCATTTCCAGAACCTCCTGTGCACCCAGGTGAACCCCACTTGTCTCTCCCACTCCTTCCTGACCATCTCAGCACTGGAATGAAGTGAGGCTGAACCCCTTGTGAGTCCCCAAATATTCTCAGAGTGCTAAGATCTCAAAAATTTACTTGTCAGTAACTGCCTTTCTGCTCAAGTCTCATATGAAAGTTTCCTGATAATTTGCCTTTTGGGGCAAATAAAAAACAAAAAAACCACCACTACCACCAACAAGAAAAAACACCAAGATTCTACCTGCTCTGTCTTGGCAGCTGTCCTTGGAACTGATTTTTCTTTTCCTGCGGGTTTCCCGATATGAGTTGGACTCTGGTTCTGTGAATACAATGAGAGTTTGAGAAAGTGCCTCCAACTGAACACCCTGAAATTCCTAGTCCATCCTGGACACACAGGAGCTCAGGTTGCCACCAAACCCCAGCTCTTTTCTGTTCTCCAGTGTCCAGGATCTATACGGCCCTGGCTGCCAAGGAGCTCCGGGTTTCCTTGCCAGGGGAGCCTGTGTTGCTGCCCTGTCCCTTCTCGCCTGGAAAGAGTCAAATCTTACTGGATCCAGCAGTGCTGTTCCCAGCCTTGAGGTTGGTTTCCTCAGAATTCTCCTCCTTGTTTGGATTGGGCTCCAATCCTGCTGTAAAAGGAAGTTTAGGTGACTCAGTTCTCCCTAGGCAGAGTCCCATAGTCTATCCCTGATGCGTTTTTGCAGATCAGTCTTTCATGTGAAGCTCTTCTGCCAGCGTCAGGAGTGAACACATTTCTCAAAGTCCCCTGAGGGCGCTAAGCCCTTTCCCATCCCCAAATCTCAAAATAAAACCCTACTAAAGACACATGGCTCAGTA